AAATCACTGCAAAATATGATACCCTCGGGTTATGACTAACGTAGCCATGGAAAGATCCACCCATATTTTGAAAGGTAAATCGGCGTGAATCATCCATAAATGGGCCATTGTCCATAGCTATGTTAAATAGCCAGAGGGTACTACAAAAATGCTTGAAGTGGGATACAGACCATCTTAAACAGGGGATAACAAGGATGATAATCTACTTGCTGGTTCCACCCTTTTTTCAGGGCACGAGCCAAAAGTCATTGTTCCTACAGGATCATCACCTAAGATGAAAAATCATTTTCCGATAACGGGGAATGACTACCTGCTAGACGTAAATGTGAGATTTAGCCCAGCAAAAATGTTGATATAGAGTACATCATATAAAACTTGTGAAACCAACACAAAATGGGAATGCAATGGAGCATCACCAAACATGTGGGTTTAATCAACACCATCAAAGGGTAAAATATTTAGGGAAAATAAACCATCAATCTGGATTTGATGGGATACGATGGGGATAAAAACTATGTTCAGTAGTATGATCCGGGTTGTCCTAAACTGGTGGATATAATATAACCATATATAACTGAACTACTTATGGTCATGTTCAAAGATCCTGATGGTTTCAACTATTGAATCATTGCATTTGTTTATTGGATTTTATTGGTCTATTACCTCCATGAACATGAACCCAACAGTTTAAATTGTTAAACCAACTGAGCGATTCTGGATGGGGGCATCATCCAAAAATCATCTCGTTTCTATAGAGCCCCATCATTACAAATATCGATGTCATTATATTTGGTTGGTGGTTTCAACCATGTTGAAAAAATATGAAAATCAATGGGAAGGATTGTCCCATATATTATGGGAAAAAAAACATGTTCCAAACCACCAACCAGATGGTTGGGCAATTTAATTCCTAGTTCCTCAGGTCCCCATTCCATAAACAACATGGATACCTCTAGCTCCTGAACCCCCTCCTAACCACTAGATAGATTATATCCCCCTAATATCAACATATATTAAACACCACCCAAAAAACACTGTCTGATGTAGAGGATTTACACATATTTGAGACCATCGAATGGGGATGTTTAATGCCAGGTATAAAAAGGAACCGTCTTACTATTATATCCACATTATAATCATTATAGTTGGATAGTTCAATATATGTCTTGCATATATTATGTATATATATATACTTATACACAATATTATACATATATATATATACAAAATATGACATATATATATATACATATGTATATGCGCATAATATAATATATATATATACATACACAATATTGTAAACATATACACCTGTTATACTACATATTGCACCATAGATTGAAAAGACATTAACATATTTTGTATATTATATAAAATTATTTTATAATATATCAAATATCAAATTATGTATTATATTAAAAATTATATTCTATATTATATTAAATATTATATTATATATTATATATTATATTAAATATTATATTATATATTATATTTTATCATTTTATATCATAATATATTTATTATATTATATTTTATACTATATAATATTATATTATGTATGATATGATATTATATTATATTAAATTATATTATATTATATTACATTATATTATATTGTAGTATATGAAATGATATTATATGATATTATTATTATATATATATATATGTATGTATACATATTTGTTATATATGTATATATGGCCATAAATGTCTGTGACGGACTCCAAAACCTGGATCAACTCGTCATCCCCGTCTCCTGATCCTTGGGCCGTCGCCGTCCCAGGCCGTCCCAGGGCACAGCAGGCGCAGCATGCGCAGCGTCCAAGGCACGGGAGGACGTAGTCTTCGGGACTGGCGGGCAAAAGAGGTGGTAAACCCAAAGCCAAAAACCATCTCCAGCAACCAAGCCGTTTGGTGGCCATGAGATTCATCATCCCAGTTATTACAGGGTAATACCCACCAGGTTTATGGAGGAAATCGATGGATTCGAAACATCCACCGGAAATGCCATGGAGTTTATGGAGTTTTAATTGGAAACCATATGATTTTATATGGTTTTCTGGGAAAATCATGGGACAACAAAAATCAAGAAGTAAAAAACCATAAGCACAAATTTCATGGTTTTGATGAAACATCTTAATTGCAAACTATGCTTTTTAACTGTTTTTGACTGGTTTTTAATCAACAGTTCCCACAAATCACATGTGCCATGGTCGGAATTATATGGTTTAGGTCATCCCAGAAATGGAATCCTCATAATTGATGGTTTTTACCATGGTTTTTACCACCCAATATATGGAGGACTCTTGCAGACATCTTTTTTTGCGGTAAACCTATTCTGGGATTTGTCCCCATCATATTTCTCATGAACATATGGCTGCTTTGAAGATGTGGCAAATAAAAACATCAAAAGGGGAAATATATCATCATATACCTCAAATTCAATGGATGATGATCATCTTCGGTGAAGTGATGCATAATGAATTGGGATTAATTGGGTATCTTATCACTTGATTCAATGGTCATTTCAGGAACCTAAATTGGAGGTACCTACCATATATAAGGCCTATGTAAGGCCTATGTAAGTGAATATCCCCACAAAATATAGCCTTATATGGTACAGTACCTCCATTTTAGGATCCTGAAATTACCATTGATTGATCCTATTATGATGTTTTTCATAAAATTTGGGACGAAAAACACAACAGGATCCACTTCAGTCCACCGATTCAGGTGTGCAGTATCACCCTAGCCATGGACCTTTGATCCTTTGCAAGTACAGTGGAGAATACTAGTTTTTCGATGTTTTTCGAGATCAAAATCAAAGTATGATAAAATTGGGTTGTTTGTCTTTCCGACATGATGTTCCTTCCTTAATTGCAGAACAGTTGTTATGTCGGTGCAACGTGCGCCATGTCAAACCATGTCAAACCAATGCCTTGCTACTGCGGAAAGTTCGCATTTTTGTTCGGGTGTGCGCCGTGACCTGGCGGCAGGCTGCCTTGGCTCATGAGTTTCTTCTGCTTGACCTTCAGCTGCTTGGTTGCGACCAGCCGGTCCTGGAACTCCACCGGCTTCTCAGACCTGCCTGCGGCCAGCCATTTTTTGAGGTGACCCAAATCCACCTGTGGCACGGGCAGTGTGGTATCACGCACGCTCAGCTTTCACTTTACGACACGCAGCTTTTTGCACCCTTTTTGGGGCCGCAGTTTGCAAAGAAATTCCAAGCCGCGTCCATGTACCCTCTCGGTAACATCTTCTTCGAACCTGAGGCATATGACACGTGGATCTCCCTGGTTCAAAACACAGAAAACAATATGCACATGCGCATGTACAATCCCCATCATGGAACAGAACATGCTGCAGCTGCCAAGGGTTTACAATGAGGTCACTTGAGTATGTGTTCATGCTGGGGCATTCACAGCTGTTGTACCTGTTCACTTGTCAAAGGCAGGAGATGCAGCTTGGATGCAAGAAGGTTGTGGCAAAATACGATGGCTGAGCATACGATGGCCGGACTTTTCCCACCTCCTTTTTGAGAGGCAGCTGTTTTACATGCGCATCTGTGGAAGCGATTTACAACTGTATTTGTCAAAGGTTTTTCTCGTAGGTTTCACTTGCGCATGTCGCTCAGCCTTGCAGCCGAGTGTCAAGGGTTGGATTCACTGTCAACAAAAAATCCTCCCATCCCTACGAATGAAAACCATGTGCTGACCCACAAACAGTATACATGTCATATAGCTGTAGCTGTTCACGGAGGATGAGGCTATTGCCACGCGGAAAGAGAGCAATCCATACGCAACTGGAAACGGGTCAAGACACAGCACCCTATATTATATATATACATATATTACTATGAATATGTATACATCTCATAAACCATCATATATATCTTATACATATTACACATATGTGCACAACGACCTAACACTGAAAATTCATTCAACCAGTCGCCTCGCATCTTGTTGTGAGCTGTGAGCAGGGCGAGGTACAGTCGTTGCATGTTTTTTTAAAGGTTGTGTCGTTTCCAATGCACTTCGCATTTCCGAAAAACACAACTGGTTGGTGGTTTCAACCCCTCTGAAAAATATTAGTCAATGGGAAGGATTATCCCATATATTATGGAAAATAAAAGTCACGTTTGAAACCACCAACCAGACAATCATGTGCTCGTGTGATTTGAATTGAACAAAGTGCCGCACATCTCTTTGTTCTCGCGTTTTTCCCACTGGATGGGGCCTTTTTCCCAGACTCTTTGATGCCATGGAAATTGGACATTTCCGAAAGAAACCACGCATAAAAACGCTGGATTCCTTTGAAAACAAATTGGAAAAAGGTGATCTTCATCCCTCCACAGCCACCCGATATTGAACTTGTAGATATTGAACTCACGAGATTCGATGACTGAACTTACTTGTGTAAAACGATGGTCTCTACAATACATATATATATATACATAATAGGGAGGCTGAACATATGTGAATATATTTTCCTTGTCCTGAATTTTCTTCAAAATCAGCAACATCTGAGCATAAGCCCATCTGGGGATTACACAATGGTGAGCCCTTGGTGGGTAAGAGACCCATGAAAAATGGATTGGTGTTTTCTTTCCTATACCCACCAAATGGCCATTTTGATCAATATAATGGTGATTCATCAAAGAAGAGAAAGGGTACCCTTTTTCTGGCAAAACTGTATTTGGCAAATATAATTACTAAACACATAGTTTTTTTTTTAAAAAATCTACATACAAACATCTAATATACATATATATATATATAAATAAAACAATATATATATATATAAATAAATAAATATATATATATATATGTACTGTACATACTATGTGGTTTGCCACCCGGTTATGTTTTAGATTTAGTTTCACCCATCTGAATACACGTACAACTGCCATAAACCCTGGTGAAATTGCAGTTCTAAAAAACCAATTAGCTATCTACGGGGCCCCACTTTGTATATATACATATATATATATATATAATGGAGGATTCCAAAAATACGGGTACCTCCAAATCATCCGAAAGTAGACCATATGAGTATTGAAACCTACAAGTATGGCTTCGGGGATTCCCATTTTAAGAAACCCCATATGGATTATATATGGGTTGTATGCACGGTACATACTCTATCCCCATTCTATCCCAATGACTATTTTTCTATATTCCATATTTTTTTTTACAAATAATAGATAGATAGATAGATAGATAGATAGATATATATATATATTTATATTATACACAGACATACATCAGCGACACCATCCACCATGGTGAAAACCCTCTGCATTCCAAGTCGACGGCACCTTCAAGCAGCCCCACGCTGCGCCGGAGAGACGCCACGGACTGCGGCGAGATCATCCAAAAAAAACCAGTTTACCATATAGTTTGCCATATATATATATTATTTGTATAGAAAAATATGGGATATAGAAAAATAATCATTGGGATATAGTGGGGATACAGTATGTACTCCGTAGACAATCCATATATAATCCATATGGAGGTTTCTTAAAACAGTGCATCCCCAAGTCACCATACGTTTCCGTACTAAGTCATGGTCTAGTGACTTGGACGATTTGGGGGCCCCATTTTAGGACACCTCCATATAGTTTGCCATATAGTTCTCTATGTTTTACGATTTGGTTTACCCTACAGTAGGACATCCAGAACTATGGTAAAATAACAATCAAATGACATAATTATAGTATAGTATGAACATACAACATTGTGATTTAAGATAATTCTGGTTACATATGGTGATTTAACAAACTCATATGGAATAAATCATTGTCATACCTGTAGACAAATCAAAAATAACATAATCAACAATAAGTATGGTGGATGAACGTAATCATGGAACATCACAACCTTTAACAGGTAAAATCATCGAACCAAATGGCCAACGTTCAATACCTATGTTAAATTACTGGGGGGCAAGGATCAGAGATCAATATATAATATAGTATATCGATGTAAATTGTATATGGAACGATATATTGTATTATCAACAAATGGGGTATTGATACATGGTGTATGTATAAAATATGTAAATATGTATTATCTTGTATATATATATATTAAATATTTTAATTCTATATATTCTGGTAGGGTCTATGTTCATTGGGGGATGCTAATGATGTATATCTATTATCGAAGGAAGTTTAGAAGTCAAACTTCAAACTTCCGACAATATGGACAGATGAAAAGCAGAGCAGCGAAGAGGCAGAGAGAAGAGAAAGATTAGAAGAAAGAAGAGTAGAAGAGAAAGAGTAAGAAGAAAGAAGATGCAGATGCGTGAAAAGGTAGGAAAGTCGCGAAACACTGTGTTTTTCCAATGATTTGTGGCTCAGGAGGGTCGAAAAGTAGGCTCGCTAAAGCGGCGGGTGCGGAGCCAGCTGGCCAGATGAGAGATGAAAAATTGCACGCCGTTGTGGCGCGAAGCACATGTCGAAGTCAAAATGTACAAAACCCACCAGCTTCGGCGGACCATTTTTACTAGTTGAGATGTCGAAAAGTGCACACCGTTGTGGCGCGAAGCACATTTCCAAGTCAAAATGTGCAAAACACCTCAGCGTCGGGCGACTTTTGGAAGTTGAGATGTCCAAAAAGTGCACGCCGTTGTGGCGCGAAGCACATTTCCAAGTCAAAATGTAAAAAAACACACCTTTGTCGGACCACTTTTGGAAGTTGAGATGCCCAAAAAGTGCACGCCGTTGTGGCGCGAAGCACATTTCCAAGTCAAAATGTAAAAAAACACACCTGTGTCGGACCACTTTTGGAAGTCGAGATGTCGAAAAAGTGCACGCCGTTGTGGCACGAAGCACATTTCGAAGTTAAATGTTAAAAACACCAGGGATTCGGACCACTTTTGGTGGTTCAGATGTCGCTTCGCTTCACTACACTACGCTACACTCCACTACACTACACTCGACTACACTACACTACATTACACAACACTACAACTACAACTACAACTACACTCCACTACACTCCACTACACGAAATTACACTACACTACACTACATTACACTACACTACACTACATTCCACTACACTCCACTACACTACACTACATTACACTACACTACATTACACTGAATGACACTGCACCACAGATAGACAGGTAGACAGATAGACAGATAGATAGTTAGACAAGTAGACAGCTAGACAGATAGACAGATGAAAGAGAGAGAGAGAGATAGATAGATAGATAGATAGATAGGTAGATAGGTAATTAGATGAAAGAGAGAAAGAGAGAGAGATAGATAGATCGATAGATAGATAGATACATAGAAGATAGGTTGGTAGGTAAGTAGATAGTCAGAGAAAGAGAGAGAAAGAGAGGAGACCTCAAGCACCTTTCGGTCCATCAGTGGGTTCGCTTTGCCATCCCTGATTCACAACAACCAATCTCTCCTATAGGTTTCCTATCTTTGAAACTTCCGCCGCCGCCTTGTGCGGTACTACTGGTATAAATACATATCCCTTTGGATCCAAACACTGAGGAAGTATTTTGTCAGAGTTTCCTCATACCCAACAAATTGTTGAAGAAGGTACGGCTAGATCCATAGGGAGAAAAATATGGCTATTTGATGATAAATATCATTTTCCAAACCTCAACTCAATTTCCAGAAAATAGAAAACGCTCGAATACTACTCTCCATAAACCTAAATTTGGCTGTGGCTCATATGATTTGCGATGGTACGCGCAGGAGATGTGGAACGGTGTCTCGGCCGGAAAATGCTCTACAAATGGTGGGTTTCCACATCTATGTCAGTTTACAGGAGAGTGGATAGGGATATGTTTGATGGCTCATTTGAGATGACGAACGCGACGATGAGGAAGACCGTCTAATGTCTGCATCGCCAATTTTTGTTGGTTTTATAAGTATATACAAGTTATATATCTAAATGTTGATGGGTTGAATCCCCATCTTCGTTCCAGACTATCATTATCCTGTTGTGGGTGAGAAAAAATGGCTCATTAGCCCGCCCTTTTTCAGTGGCCATTTCATGGGGGCATGATGATCAACTTTCACCACGGCTTGGCCAGCATTTTTTTCAGACAAACCCCTTGGTCAATCGCCTTGCTCAATATATATACTATCGTATAGTCCGGGAAGTCACCCATCTTTGTGACCCATTCATGCAACATGGCTGATGCCATAAGCATCGTCTGCAGGTGGACAACTGCTGCTGTCCTCTCCAGAGGCAAGTCGTAACGCATGGACACCCAATCTTCCAAAACGTTCTGAATGATGATCGTCTGGTTCGGGGTTTGTGCTTGATGCATTTTAGCATTGTGCCTTCTGAGTGCATAACCGAGGTTGGCACCTTCACCTTCCAGGATTTCCCACAAGGTTTTGGCCCTCGACTCAATCACGTCCATCTTGGTCTTCTCACGTTCCATCACGTGGAAGGCCCATTTCTCCCAGTAAACACGGGTCATCTGGAAACCAGGCTGCACGTTGTCGAATCTGGTGGCAGTTGCTATTGTAGGGAGGATGGGATTGGTTTAGCGAACCCATGTTCACTATGCTGGTCTTGGAAATCTTCTCCCTCAACTCCTTGACCAGAATCGTTCGGTTGATCATGTTGCTGGTGCCTGAGTATTGATTGCGAAGTGTTTCCCAGAATTCGTCGATGCGGATTGCACATTCATAAGTGCAGAGCAACTTGAATACCTACTATGGTTTATCATAATCCCCATTAAACCAGGTAGTACAATCCCATAAAAGACCCAATCAAGATTTCATCAGAGTTGTCCTCTCCTCCTCTTCCTCCTGGCATTCTATCTGGCAAATCTTCTGACATTCTCTCTGGCATATGTATCTGGCATATCTACTGACATTCTTTCTGGCATTCTATCTGGTATATCTTCGAAGATTCTTTGTGGTTGAGGCCTGGCGGGGAACACTTTGATCCGGAGCTTGCGGGGGAGGTCCGGCGGAGGCGGAGGAGCAGGAGGCCGGAGGCGGAAGGCGGGACAGCTGACATAAAATCTAACAACCCTCACCTGACAGGTGGGGAAAAAAGAATCGTATCTCTGTAAATACAAAATATAATATGGTTATGGATCAAAACCCCGTTGCTACAGGTACCCTAAAATAATTAGCTGGGATTTATGGATGGTATTACCCCAGTAATTAATAAGTTTTGACCTTCCCCATATATTACAAAATCTGTCTTGGGGCTTGTCTCCAGATTGGGAAGCCAAATTGCTTGGACTTTTTGTCAGGGCGTGTCTGAAAATAGGGATCCTCGAAAGTTTGATGGTTGATAACAACGATGGTCCCGATTGCCATAGATTGGGTTACATACCTCATTTTTAGACAAACCCCGGTGTTTCAAACCGCTCCCTTCAAGCTACTATATATAATATGTACTACCAACCAGTCATCCATACTGACCATCTATTTGAAATAGGCGTTCTGCCAATATGCCAATATGCCAATATGCTACCCCAATAAATGTCTGGAAGATCTTCCATTGCTAAACCGCTTTGACTGAAAATAGGGTAACCGCAAGCATCCATCATTTCCACCTTCGGAGAGCTTGAGAAGCGGTCACCATAACCTGGGGACGACTGGGTGTTCAGTCGTAGCCTATAGTACCCTCTGGCAAACATGGCGGGCTGCTGGGAAATCCCCGAAATGGAGGTCTTACCCTCTGGTAAACTAACGCTATTGAAAATGGTCATAGAACTAGTTGATTCACATATTAAAAATGGTGATTTTCCATAGTTGTTTGTATGTTAACCAGAGGTTAAACCTCCACTAATCACCATGAAATCACCATGAAATCACCATGAAATCCCATGAAATCACCATTAGATCAGCATTAAATCACCATGAAATCCCATGAAATCCCCATCAAATCCCATGAAATCACCATTAAACCACCATTAAATCACCAGTTTACCAGAGGATTTCCATGGGTTTCATGGCGCTTGTTGTGTATGGCACCTCCTTCAGACGGCGTGAAAGCCATGCCAAAGATCGATTGCAACGGTAAAACCGGTAAAGCCAATAAACCTCAATCATATGAGAATATATTATGATATTAGATATTATTAGTGTATATAAGCTCATTATACTTGTATCACCAATATACCAATACTCTCATTGTCTATAGAAATTCTATCCCCATGAAAAAGGATGGGGCCCCCCAGTTATAAGTTGGTTTATAAACCATGAAATCATCCCCATGAACTAGTTCGTGAAATATCTACCATAAACCCAATCGAAATCAGCCACAAACATAAACCAACTGAACGCTATCGCTCGACTGGGGGCCCCATCGGCAGTATGGAGGTTTCCATAAATGGGGGATTCCCAATAGCTGGTTGGTTTCTAATGGAAAATCCGAATGGATAATTTGGATTGATGACTGGGGTACCCCCATGACTCAGATGACTCAGGAAACCTCCATATGGCAGCATCCACCACTACCAGCTATTTTGATGTGAACTACATGGGTACAACTGGGTACAAGATTTCGACTCCCCATATCTTTGCAGGCTTATCCAAACAATGAACAATACTGTCCAGTCTTGGCTGTGCCAAGACTGCTGCTCATCCGTTTTCCAAACCAACTTGTAAATGGGGCAGCCCAATAGGATTATGAACCACTTTGTCGTACCTTCATTCCCAAATTGCTTACACGGAATCCATTAAACCAAAAAACATCAATCCATTAAACAACACAAACACACACACACAACAAAATCTGGTTGTTGGTTCAGCCTCATCACTCAGAAAAAGAAGTCAATTGAGGATCGTCATTCCAGCTATGGATTAAATATCAAACCATCAACCAAAAAATCGATTAACTGATTGGAAAGGTCTATTATTTACGAAAGAGCAGTTGCCAGATACAAAACACCATCAAAATCCATTAGAAAAATAAACGCATGAAATCCACTACTCACTACTGAAAGTGGTTGATTGAAAACTTGCCAAACCAAAACTTTTCCACCTTCCCAGATTTCAGTTGTACAGCCATGCAACGCCACGGTGAAAGTGACCGTGAGCGGCCCCGTGAACGGCCCCTGGGCGAGAGCGAGCGAAGTTGACGTTGACCTTGGACGATTTGGGCACGGAGGGGCTAGAAGCCAACAAAAGTCAAACTTCGCGAATGGGAATAATAAACCGTTGACATTTATAGCAAAGTAGCTGACAAAGTATACAATACCATATACAGCCTGTCAAGCAAATATCATACGTTGCACATGGGATTGAAGATGAGAATGTAGCTAAATATGATAATCCATACAGGCAAGTATGATCCCCTGTGATATCTGTGGTCATCAAGCAATGGTTGGGGTTGGCAGCCACTGCTCAAATGGTTGATGATCATCCCACATGGTTGGATGGGCTTAATACTATCAATGGTTGGGGTTAGGCTTCCCAACTGCTTGATGATTGTAGATGATCACTAGATCACTATCCCTCAATTGCTGAATGGTTGGACAAGGGTTGGTAAATCTCCTGCTTTGGAAAAAACAAACGTGACAAAATCACTTGAAAAGTACCTAAGTAGGAGATGTCACATTCCAAATAATGTTTGTAAAACAAGGTAACGGCGTTGATAAGAGGCCGTGCAGTGGTGTAAGATCGACATTCCATCATAAGTGTTCAATTTCAATTTCGTGAGGGTTTTTCAACATTTTCATCATATCATGGTGCTTTCAATGAGCTTAAAACCACGTAGTGTTCACCGAAAATATTGATTTTTGAGCGTTTTACCACATAAAATGGCATTTTTTAATGACAACCCTTGTTTCCGAAACTTTGTGTGACATGAATATTGACGTAAGAGAAACCTAGCAGTAGCGTCGCATGACGTATGTGTGGAAGTGCAAGAGAAACTAGCAGTAGCGTAGCACGACGTATGTGTGAATGCGCAAGAGAAACTAGCAGTAGCGTAGCATGACGTATTTGTGAGTGCAAGAGAAACCTAGCAGTAGCGTAGCATGACGTATTTGTGAGTGCAAGAGAAACCTAGCAGTAGCGTAGCATGACGTATGATTGTGCAAGAGAAACCTAGCAGTAGCGTAGCACGACGTATGTGCGAATGTGCAAGAGAAACTAGCAGTAGCGTAGCATAACGTATGTGTGAATGTGCAAGAGAAACTAGCAGTAGCGTAGCACGACGTGTATGTGAATGTGCAAGAGAAACTAGCAGTAGCGTAGCACGACGTATGTGTGAATGCGCAAGAGAAACTAGCAGTAGCGTAGCATGACATATGTGTGAATGTGCAAGAGAAACTAGCAGTAGCGTCGCATGACGTATGTGTGGAAGTGCAAGAGAAACCTAGCAGTAGCGTAGCATGACATATGTGTGAATGTGCAAGAGGAAACTAGCAGTAGCGTCGCATGACGTATGTGTGAATGTGCAAGAGAAACTAGCAGTAGCGTAGCATGACATATGTGTGAATGTGCGAGAAAAACTAGCAGTACCGCGCATAACGTATGTGTGGAAGTGCAAGAGAAACCTAGCAGTAGCGTCGCATGACGTATGTGTGGAAGTGCAAGAGAAACCTAGCAGTAGCGTAGCATGACGTTTGTGTGAATGTGCAAGAGAAACCTAGCAGTAGCGTAGCATGACGTTTGTGTGAATGTGCAAGAGAAACTAGCAGTAGCGTAGCATGACGTATGTGTGAATGTGCAAGAGAAACTAGCAGTAGCGTAGCATGACGTATGTGTGGAAGTGCAAGAGAACCTTGCAGTCGCAAAGAACGTTAACATCCCCCCCCACCCCCACCCCCACCCCCCCCCACCCGGTTCACAATCACAATGACAAGAAGAACACACAAAACCGAAAAAATGGAGACAGCACACGGCCCCTTAACAGCGTCGACACCTAAAACAACAATAAACCACCCCCAAAATCAGAATAAATGGGTGGTATAAACCATCAACATGCTACATAATTTCTGTTGAGTATTTTGGTGGGATGGTCACTAGGATCATCTAGGATCCAGGGTTTCGAATGGTTGGAACCAAACACACCATCTGGTTGGTTAATGACCATTAATGATGGTTAATGGTGGTTCATAATGGTTAATAATGGTTAATTATATCCATCTGGTTGGTGGTTTCAACCTACCCCTCTGAAAAATAAAAATCGTAAAAGTCAGTTGGGATGATGAAATTCCCAACCGAATGGTAAGTCATAAAATTCACGTTCCAAAGCACCAGCAATCAATTTTTTTCTGGCCGGTTTACAACAGCCAGCTCTACCAACATCCCTGTTGGATCGGGATCGTCATCCCACATGGGTCAATCCTGGCCCCCCTTTTTTGGTCAAACCGATGTTTTTTTTTGTGGCGAAGATGGGGTCTACCCCTGCAAATTCCGATGATCCGATGATTGCTAGGGAAACTGATGATCCAATGAATTTAGGGTTAGCCAATTTTTAGACAAACCCAACTGGCTTCATAGTGATGAAAATCTACAGCGATAGTTATGTTTTTAAGGCGTACATATAGCACAGCAGATCCGGCCGCGCTGGTCATGGTGAATTTTCGAATCTTCGAATCTTCGATACCTGGCAAAATATCTATAACTATAATTTTTGACTGGTTTATAGTACATTTTACCATTGACGGCAAAAGATTCAAGTACTAAAGTATCTAACTAAGGTTGACTCAGTGGTAGTTTCTATTACTATCATTTGATATCCCCATGTTCTTGATGATAATCACATCTCCGTTGCTGGATGTCCCAGTCCCTGCTTGCCGAAACTCATCACGAAAACATTACTGCCCACTGTCCCTGTCCAACTCCTTATCAGTTCTTGAGTTTGCGTCCCAGTCAACTGCCCAATCTCCATGTTTGCAGCGGAGTTATACATATACGGTATATACAATAGGTTATATAGGATCATTAAATATTACATATATATATACATATGTATACTGTCATACACGGTCGGTATATATATATATGTATATATATATGCATATTCATATTACATGGAATCAGCCATTTGTATATATATATGGAATGACAAGTTTCTATACATATATATATATATATACGTATATAGTTCATACATGGGAAAACTCAGCTGTATATGATGACTTGTATCGGACAATCCTCTCCTCCCAGGTGCCAGGAAACGTTGCAACAAGTGCTTCATTCGCTTGGAGGCACTGGCATGGCGACCTGATATGGCACCGAAGCAGTGAAGCCCTGAATTGGGCGAACCCCAGGCTGATCATTGGGACATTTCCGAAGAATTTTAGAGGATATAATGGGGATAGAATTTCTATAGACAATGACTGGTTGGTGGTTTCAACACCTCCGAAAAATATTAGTCAGTTGGGATTATTATTCCCAATATATGGAAAATGAAAAATGTACCAAACCACCAACCAGATGAGAGTATTGGTATATTGGTGATGCAAGTGTAATGAGCATATATACACCAATAATATCTAATATCAATATCATAATATATTCTCATATGATTGCCGCAAGGTGGTGCCCACCATGAATAGTTGGCTATGCAACAAGTTAACTCCAATGTTGCGTTTATATGCATTTATGGTAGATATATCGAACTATTTAATGGAGATGATAAACTATCGTCCCGAAACAGGATCAAATGAGGCACCATGGGAAGAAGTGGAAAGCAACACTTGGACATTGGCTTGGTACAAGTGTTGGTTAACCATTGAGTTCAAACCAATTTTGAAGCATTCCCCCTGAACCAGTGTAGATAGTTTGCCTTTGTTTCCGAACTGACCATTTTTATGCCAGTTTGATCGGCCATTCAGTCGGTACTTTTCTGATCTTCTGCTTTGTTCCCCAAACATTCCCAAAAACACACGTTAAAATCATGGCAATGTTGGTAAAACAATAATAAACCATCCCCAATTTCACCATTTTTATAGGTGCTAGCAGCTTACCATTCATACCATTCCCAGTCATGGGTGGTAAACATGACATTGTTTTACCCACATTGATTAGTGTCTGGTAAACATACATAACTATGGAAAATCACCATGCTCTCAATGGATAAATCAACTATTTCGACTGGGTCATGGCTTCAATAGCGTTTTAACCACATTAAACCTCATTTTGTCATCCATTCTTGGGCCATGTGGTCCATGTTTCACTGAAATCGGACTCCCATCCCTCCCATCCCTCCCATCCCTCCCATCCCAGGATGGGCCCCCCAGTGATAAGTGAACGTTGGTTGAGAAAAACCATGAATTAATCCCCATGAACTAGTTCGCTATATCTACCATAAACCATAGAAATCAACCACTATAGGTAGATCTTACCTTGAAAGAGTTGGAGAATATTACCATCTGGTTATGACTAACATAGACATGGAAAGATCCACCATTTTCAATAGGTAAACCGTCTATAAATAGGCCATTTTCCATGGCTATGTTAAATAACCAGAGGGTATATCTACCATAAACCATAGAAATCAACCACACACATAAACCAACTGAACGCTATCGTGGGCGCCCCATCTTGCATCCGACTGGAGATTCCCACGGTGATGTGACGCGCTATGCGATCGATGACGGCGATGGCGATGGCGATGGCGAGATCGACCTCCAGCAGTGGCGAAACGAACTCGTTCAACGTCCCTTGAAAGTGAAGATCTGAAGATCGATGGTCATAGTGATACAGTGATACTCCAGACATATATAGATATATAATTACATATATATAAATATATTCTTATATATATAATATATTAAATATTCTATTATATATTAAATATTATATCATATATTAAATTATAAATTAAATTATAAATTAAATTAAAGATTATATTATTGTATTATACTATTATATTATATTAAAAATAAATATTATATACTATTTATATTTTATATAATATATTACACATATATTAAATGGTTTAAGCCCATAGAATCAATCGCTGTTGTATCGTTTAGCTCTGTTGGGATGATCTGATCTTCCCAAAACCAGGCGGTCCCGAGCTCTTTCTGCATACTTCCTTTGCACACATCAGGAACATGAGGAGTAGATACTGATATATGTATCAACTAAGTACGTATACTGGTTGGTGGTTTCAACACCTCCGAAAAATATTAGTCAGTTGGGATTATTGTTCCCAATATATGGAAAAAATGTTCCAAACCACCAACCAGTATAATATCGTACAATCATCATATTCTACATATTTTAGCGATACTTCACCTTGCCCGGGAAATCCCAGGGCTTCTGTAGACTCTTTGCCCATCATTGACCACTCCTTTCTGATGTAGGATCTTCTGTCCGCAAGTTCCCATCAACCCTCCTAGAGTCTAACCTCTCAACGGAAATCCTCCGTTTCAATCTGTTCAGCCATGTTTGAGCCCCCCAGTTATAATATTATAAGTTGGTTGATAAACCCATTAGCTATAATTATATCCGCCATAAACCCTAGCTAATCAAGTTATAAGTCAACTTAGGTATCTAGGGGGCCTCTCCTTGTATATAGAGGGTACAGTGAAGAAAAGACCTCCCACAGAATATTATTCCACTCACTGAAGAAATCTATATGATCTAGCACTCCATACTTCAATCCACTTTCAGAAACAATTTGACATCATTTGTATCATAGCAGCACATCAAGCTAGAATTCTGACGACACCCATATTGCAGGTCCAAATCAGGCTTGACTTTGCAAAATACGCATGCTTGGAATACGTATCCTACTTGTTCCCAAGTTCTGAAACGACTGGTCGAAACTATGCTCAAATTCCCTGCTCTGGCCACCCGGAATGACCCACTTCGAGCAAGTCGCGGCTGTGGTGACGGTGGTGGTTGTGGCCACCCTTCCCTTTGCCTTTTCCCTTCACATCGTCTACAAGTCCTGTGGAAAACGAGAGTTTGTGATCTTTGGGAAATAACCAATTATATATCTTGCAGTATCATCCGTATAATATAAATATATATATATATTATATTATATATAATATATCACATATTATATATTATATATATGTCTGTAGTTGGCTGGTGGGTGCTTCGGAACCATGGTTATTGAGCCCTGACACAGCTCCACATCTAGGTGGTCTCTTTTTGACCTTTTGGCGATGTTTGGTATCTCCGATATCTAATCATGGGGCCCTTTGGAAAAACATTGAGGCCCAATGATGCTTTTGAACTTAATAGACACATTAGGCACAACTCTCATTTATATTCCTTTACTATATCAACAAATGAAGCTCACCCAGTTACTACGTGGGTTTCTCTCAAAGTACGGGGTTTTACCGACATTAAGGGCTGAAAACTCACTGGGAAGGACAAGATCAGCTCCTTTGCCTTTGCCCTTTCCTTAGCCGAACCCAGCGGACAAACCGAGAACCAGGAACTGGGGTCATCATGAGTGGTGCACGATTGCACAATCATGTCCAATCAGCTCATTAAAAAGCGGGCATTGGGTAGTCCGAAGAAAAAACAAGAGGTATGTGTGATATATACATATACATATATATATATACAGCAAATACCAGGGCATTGCCCGGACCCTCAATGACGACAGGCGACGCATCATCATCATCATCATCATCAGCATCATCATCACCATCATCATCATCATCAACATCATCATCATCATCAGCATCATCATCATCATCATCATCATCGTCTCTGAGCGTGAGCACTGAGCTCTCATTGTTGTTCCCGACGAACCCCAAAAAGGGTAGACCGTAAGGTCGGTTGCCAGGCGCCATGCGGAACGAAACGACGTCCGGCAACTGCCACAAGACTCCGTTGCCTGGATTGTAAAACATCAGCACGTGGGCTTGGTAGTGACGGTGGTCCATGTACGGCCAAACCATCTCAGCCAACTGGCTCTCCAGGTCAGCAGTCATGATGATGCCGTGGGGCCCCTTTCATCTTGGGTCTTGAGTTCGGCGACGAAAGAGCGGTTTGGATGGAATCCAGCGCGCCCTTCTGACAGGGCCAGCATCAGAAGGACGTTTTTGAAGATCTTCAATGAATGTAGAAGTTTGACGGGGGTGGGAGTTTAATATTCCCTAGTACCTTTGTTGATCTTCCCAATTGAATGTAGAAGTTTAACGGGGGTGGGAGTTTAATATTCCCTAGTACCTTTGTTGATCTTCCCAATTGAATGTAGAAGTTTGACGGGGGTGGGAGTTTAATATTCCCTAGTACCTTTATTGATCTTCCCAATTGAATGTAGAAGTTTGACGGGGGTGGGAGTTTAATATTCCCTAGTACCTTTGTTGATCTTCCCAATTGAATGTAAAGTTTAACGGGGGTGGGAGTTTAATATTCCCTAGTACCTTTGTTGATCTTCCCAATTGAATGTACAGTTTAACGGGGGTGGGAGTTTAATATTCCCTAGTACCTTTGTTGATCTTCCCAATTGAATGTAAAGTTTAACGGGGGTGGGAGTTTAATATTCCCTAGTACCTTTGTTGATCTTCCCAATTGAATGTAAAGTTTACGGGGGTGGGAGTTTAATATTCCCTAGTACCTTTGTTGATCTTCCCAATTGAATGTAAAGTTTAACGGGGGTGGGAGTTTAATATTCCCTAGTACCTTTGTTGATCTTCCCAATTGAATGTAAAGTTTAACGGGGGTGGGAGTTTAATATTCCCTAGTACCTTTGTTGCTTTTCCCATAGGGATTTAAGGTTTAACAGGGGTGGAGTTTAATATTCCCGAGTACCTTTGTTGTTTTTCCCATAGGAATTTTGTGAAGTTGCATCAACATTTGTTTGGGAATGGGAAACCTCTACGCTGCAACGCCTGGGCAAAGCCCAGGCGTTGCGCGTATGTATATATATATAAATAGAATAATATATATATATATAATAATATATATATATTATTCTAAATATATACTATATAAACAATATATATATAATACATTATATATATATAAAAACTGATATAAACATATATAATATAAACACATATAATACAATATGATCTAATAAAATATAATAAAAAATAATAAAATAAAATAAAAAAACAAATATAAAAAATATATATTATAATACACTACCATATATTAAAATACCGTATCATATGATATTATATTATATTATATTGCATTATATTATCTTATCTTATATTATATCAAATTATATTATATATTATGTTTTATTTAATTAATTATTTTTTTAAATATATTTTGTTATATTTTGTAATATTATATTATATTATATTTAATATTATATTATATAAAAAATAATATTATATTATATTATATTTAATATAATATTAAATTATATTATATATTATAATATATTATATTTTATTTTATTATTCATTCAAAAATATTATATATTATATTATATATTATAATAAGTTATATTATATTATATTGTATTAAGTTAAATTATATTAAATTATATACATTTATATAATATATCATTTTATATATTATATTATACTATATATTTTATTTTATTATATTATATTATATGTGTGTGTGATAAGTTTGGCATCGGATTTGCCGCTGAGTTCCCTAAGACAAACAAAGAAATCTTCCCTAACATTTCCCAAATCCTCATCTGGATCAACGCCCTGCAGCTGAAAGTCCCTTGGCATCTTCCGCTGCGTCAGCGCTGTCGTGTTTTTTGGTGTCAGCTTCACCTTCGGCAAGGCTTGGGAAATTCCTGGGATACCTTCCATTCTTGGTGACTTGCTGATAGCGAAGTTTCTCCATCTAGTGGGACAGAAATAACTTTCTGGTTGGTGGTATACCTACCCCTCTGAAAAATATGAAAGTCAGTTGGGATTATTCTTCCCAATATATGGAAAGTCATAAAATTCATGTTCCAAACCACCAACCAGCTTAAATCCCTGCTTTTGTGTATTTAAACGTAATTTGTAAAACATAAATGTTCAAGCGGCTAAAGCGGCTAGGCAGCACCCACAAACCCCACAACGACCTAGGCGGATGGCCAGATAGTAACTTGGATGAGATGCAAATGTATTCCAAGGGCCGGAGACTTGTATGGTTGTATGAGTCGGGACAAGAGCCTTTACCATGCCATTTTTCATACTAGGGCCCAGGGCAACATATTCTGCCCACCTAAGGCTCAGAATGCTCCTATTGCTCTACGCAACCAAGGTTCAACATGGTTTACCCAGAGGTGGGGACAATTGAATACGCGCCTTTGTCGGTGACAACTAACCGTCACACCTTACAAAGCACTACCAAGATAATTGGGAACAGTTGGAAATCTTAATGATCTCTTAGATGCTTACAGTACTTAACCGGCTTATCATGCAACTGAAATTCGTGACATGGCTTCTCTGAATCTACCTCAGCATTTTTGTGCCGTTTCCAGTCCTGGCTCTTCGATATACCCTGAAAAGAGAGGTGAATTTCTATCAAACTAAATGGTAATTTAACAGTTTGCTATTGAAAATGGCCATTTATAGTGGATTTACCAAATAAAAAATAGTCATTTTCCATAGCAAACCGTTAGTTTACCAGAGGCGAATCTCCTCTCAAAATCAGCCTTAAAACCCTGGCTTGGTACTGGATCTGTTGGCCCCGGAACTACAGGACCCAACTATTCAGCACGTGCATTTCATGAGTTTCACCTCAGTTGACCCATGAAAATTCTGCACGACAAAATAGCCACCAAAATGCTTTCGGAAAGACTCGGACGTTTTGGGGCGTAATTTAACCATGGAACACCACCATGTTAATAGCTATAGCATCTATATAAATGGTCCAACTTTCATTGCTATGTTAAATACCCTCTGGTAATTTAACATAGCTATTGAAAATGACCATTTATAGTGGATTTTCCCATTAAAAATGATGATTTTCCATAGTTATGTTAAATTACCAGATGGTAACCAGAGGGTAGCTCACGTTTCTGCGGCAGTGATGGAGATCGACTCAGTCTCGTCTCGTCCCAGCAGTCTCGCCTGCTTTCTCATCCTTTCCTGCATCTTTGTGCGAAGCCGGAGCATCCTGGCTTTTTCCAGCGAACAATGAATATAAGTTGGTTTATAAACCATTATTATCAACTATAATTAGTGTTTGTAACATTGGTGTTTAAATATCCAAAATGGGATTGGAACCTACAGGATGGAACCCCCAGTCAAGCTCGCGTCGTTCAGTTGGTTTGTAAGTGGCTTATAACATGATTGGGTTCATGGTAGATATAACATGATATAACGAACTAGTTTCCATGGGGATTATTATGGTTTATAAACCAACAGACATAACTGGGGGGCCCCATTCTGCATCTTATCTGCCAAATAGGGCTTGCCGAAGAGGCGAATATATATATATATAATATAATATATATATATATATATACATATCTGGGGAAAGAATGGGAAAGATACATTGCCAAGAAAACATCATGTGACATGGATATTTTGAGACATGGTCAACACCCAAGACGAAGAATTGTGTTCTGCCTGGGTGCAGGTGAGTGAACACCGGAATAGGGATCTGCATGTCATCCATATTTGTCGAATTTCCAAATGTAGTTCCCAACAAGAAAGATAGGTAAAATGCCTCTACAAGGTGGTGCCCCCTAGTTATAAATTGGTTTATAAACCCAAGTAACCATAGATATATCACCTATAAACCATAGTTATTGGAGTTATAAACCAACTGAACGCTATCTTGGGGGCACCACCTTGTACAATAGTGAGCATTTACTCAACTACCCACTTGGTGATGACCTATTTAACTATCTTTTTGGAGGTTACTTCTCTCCATTCCAAGGGGTAAAACTTGATCTTTTCTGGCATCCGGTCCTTATGGTCCTTGGCCTCCGAGGATTTGTCGACACCTGTCATGGCCACGACATGCTGCGCTATATGACATGTTTTTTTGGAAGAACATCATGATTGCCATTTATTAACCATGACATTTTGGGGGTTTTCCATGGTTTTCCGTAATGTTCGGACAAATCACAATACATACTCCAAGATTGAGACATGACCCTGGCATGGTCAATACGCAAAAGCCAAAACAGTTGATGGATAAATAGATCTTTATCTCTGTTTGATTGTATGATGTAGCTTTTTCACTCATCTCCATCTTATTTTCTATGAACTGTTTCTTTATCTTGTCACCATCTGTTCCAACCAAAATCTAAGCGTAGGGCAACTCATCCAGTAAGCAATGGCCAACCACAAAAGTCGGGCCAACAAAACAAATATTAAAACAAGTGAGATGCTGAAATCCTGTTCTGCCAGGATCGTCCTCGCCTTTGTCAACAGATTGATTCAGGGGAAAACTCAGCAGAAACCAATGGGATTTTGATATGCAAATATGGAGATTTTGTGCAACTTGTCCTTTCAACCATTTCTGGGATTGTCCTGCATAAATTTCAACTTTTCCCAAGACAAACAGCCATGTTTTTTCCATGTGCATAGCACTTTCTTTTGTGTTGAAATCCACATTTCTGGTGGTACAGTAAACTCCACCATCTGGAGGCAGGTCTGCCTCTGAGTAGGGAATGTCAAGCAAATGCTTCAAGAAGGCATCAATGTGAATGTGGAAAGCTTCGACTGCTGCTGTCGGATCTTGTGCAACAATTCGCCACAGACGATGATCTCCCAGTGCTGACACAAGGTATTGATCCAAGGTGGCCGTGGGCAAGGGGAGGGCTGGTGCATCCAAACTGTGGCGCCATGTGAAGGGATGCAAGACGTCGGCAGGGTTCAGTGTCACAAAGAGCAGGGGGTTTCCAAAATATGTTGTCAAAAAAGAGATCTTCCCTCGCATCACTCTTCGCGCTGCATCTGTGCAAGGGACTGTACCCTGCACAGTTTGAAGAAAACGAAGAAGAGATTTCATCTGTTGAGAAATGTTGGCTGCGCGAAGGGCTTCTGGAATTGAACATGTTTGGTCTGTTCGTGGGTTTAACTTCCATGAAACCGATCGTTCATGAGGGATCCCCCAAAATGGGAAGGGAGAATATGTCATCTTTGAAACCACAAACTAGACTGGTTGGTGGTTTAACCCCTCTGAAAAATATTAGTCAATGGGAAGGATTATCCCACATATTATGGAAAATCAAAAAATGTTTGAAACCACCAACCAATAAATTGATAAACATGGTGTATGCTGCAACAGGAAAGTTCTGGTAGATACTCCATTGGCCCTGTAGATCGACATGGTGTGTATTTTTTTCAGAAATGATGCGGTAAATAGTTGTAAATCCAATAATAAACCATCCCCAATATCACCAATATCACGAATATCACCAGAAGTTGGTGGTATGTTATGGCCTCCAGAATTGGAGGTCTATTATTGGGTTTGACACATTAAATCACTTTGGGGATCATTCTTCTGACTCATCATCATTTTGACCTCGACCATTGAGGTCGCTCTCGACCCAGGTATATTTCATTTTTTTCCCAGATCAACTATTGAAATCCTCATCACTTCCCATATGTGTTGGTTGGTTACCCTCTGGTAAACTGAAATAATCTAACATAGCTATCGAAAATCATCATTCTAATAGGTAAAAAGTAATTTACCAATAATAAGTAAATATTCTACAAATGGGCAACTTTCAACAGTAAAACACCAGAAGGGTATTGCCAGAAGGCAATAATGTCCTTTTGGTAAAAATAGAGGGGTCGGTTTGGTATTATACCATCTATCATCAAAGAAACCTGTTGTTAACGGGGTGTCTTCAAACCCCTCTATTTTCATCAACCAACCAATGGGAAAAGGACATCGCCAGAGGGTATATTACAGCTGCTTGGTGGTATACCTACCCCTCTGAAAAATATGAGTTCGCCAGTTGGGATGAAGAAATTCCCAACTGAATGGAAAAATAAAATTCATGTTCCAAACCACCAACCAGTGTTTGTTGGTTTATAAACCATTATAATCCCCATTAACTATAATTACATCTACCATAAACCATGGTTAATCCACATTTCCAAGCCATTTGACGGCCTAAGGCGGAATCTTTGCCGCCCTGGTGGGTCAACTTCGTCTCCTTGTTGGAACCTGTCAAATACGGCCGAGTTTCAGAGTGTTTTTGCGAAAAAAAAGCTTGGATTTAATGGGAAAATATGACCATTTATGGCATTTAATGGAATTTTCATTGCATTTAATGGAAATTTAATGGCATTTAATGTAAATTTAATGGCATGGTGATTTAGTGGGATCTAAGCCACACATATTGGGTGTTCACCAACAAATATAGTATATAGTAGATTAAGTGGGATTTAACCAAGGTAATTTCACATAGCTATGGAAAATGGTCCTTTGATAGATGATTTACCTCTAAGAAATGTGATTGTTCATATGTTACATTTCGAGAGGGTGATCGAAACCAGCCAGTACCCTGATGAACTTTCAAATAGCCAGTGATGGTATAGTGTATAACAATAGATATTCATCCCGAAAAACGTCCAAAAACTTGTGGTATTTAGGGGTTTGACCCATGTCCATACCACTGGGGACTTTGGAGCTGACCTAATATGGCGTACCTTCCCTGCCCCAAAATTAATATATAGATCCAATGCTAAATCAGTGTGAGGGTGATCTGTATTTAATCTTGGGTCAGAATACTATTGCGACAAAACCATCACATCAATGGGGATTAACCAAACCACCAAACTTTGTGAGGACATGACCAGGATTTATATATATATATACATATGATCAGGATAACCAATAGAAACTTAGCTACCACCCGCTGTTTCTGATTGATTCATACATATATAAGTTCGGTCTGGGTCAAAAGGCAACTGTCTGGGACTCACAGACCTTGGACATATGTAAGTGCGAGGTAATCAGCAATCCAATTTGGCTCTGAATGTTGCTCAAACAATCAACTATCCATTGTGGAGTACGATCAGATTCAGCCGGATTGTCAACCCACCATGGGGCAATAATCGTGTACATGCATGGCCAGGCACGAGACTTTCTCAGCAGCCTAGTGAAATATATATATATACATATGTATATATATATCTCTACCATAGATCCTAGTTTTGGAGTTATCTGGAGGTTTCCTGAAAAGGGGGTACCCCTAAATCATCCATTTATAGATGGATTTTCCATTATAAACATTTATAAACCATCAATTTTGGGGTATCCCCATGACTATGGAAACCTTCATATGAACTATGTTTCCCTATTTCTTTACCAACTTAGCCATTCGAAGCTGCAGAAACCAGCTTTTCCCCAGCCCCAAAGGTCCACCTTTGCCGACGATCTCGCGAGTAACGTCGTTGCCGTCGTGCGAATCTGCAAAGTTACCTCGATGGCAGGATAAGGGGTGGCGGTGGTTGTAATGGTAAACAGATTCCATTAACACCATCTATTGAATGGCAAATCAATCACAATCAATCCATTAAGATCTTGTATCCCATTAAGATTCAATCCATTGGTTTTGTTGGGAAAATCTTAACCGGAAACCCACGGGTTTTTACCATGAGGTTTCCGGTTTCAATTTCCCCATCCAATTCTGTGAAAAATCCATGAATCATACCACGATGGTTCCTGTAAGAAGTCTTTTACCCCAAATCATTGGTTCATCCGAGGCAAAAACTGTATGAGTACTCAGGCTGATTCATTCAAATCTTACTCTTGGGTGATGTGCCCTGGCCTTCTGGATGGCAATTCTGTACTCATCCTCTGGCAAAATGCCATCTGCTCTCAACATGTTTGGGATCAAATGTAGCAAGACGTTCAACGTCATCGCATTTCCGATGAGGGCACCAAATTGCGACCCCCGGATGCCCAAACTCTTCCAATCCAAAAAACCATTGGGGACGCCTTGGAGCATGGCTAATTCATGTGGCTCCAAAAATCCTCCCTTGCCAGTGCACCAGATGCTTTGTCTTTGGCCTTCCGTGCGGGTGATCGTCATGCAGGTACCCACCATGTAGTTGCATCGGCTCTGGCTTGCCCCACTCGTAATGAAGACAAAGGACTGAAATGGGTTCACACCCTTGGCGACACATTCCTCCCCCTCCTACTGATGTTTTTGGGTTTTGGCAACTGCCCCGATCAAATATAGTTGGTCTCTCGTAAACCGCACCGTGTTGTGGAGTTGCGTTCACCAACTTGGCCATGGATGGCTGAAAAGCTCACTGAGGCATCATCTATGAGGTCATGGTGTCGCTTATCCCTGGGATGAGTGCCAGTACATGCAGCTGTAGCCTTACCACAACAACTGATAGGACTTCTTTGCATTTTGTATGTATTTATGGGATGTTCAAATAAAATGCTGTAGCATACTTTTGCGAATAATAAAATTGAAGTGCAAAATCTTGAGGTAAATTCATCTGCTTGCCAAGAAGACCAAAACAACTAAGCACTGCCAAGCACTTCTACCCATACACATCGACTTATCTTGGTCTAGCAACCATAGTGTGGGCAAAATTTTCGAAAAAAAACATCTGGCAAAGACTGGATAGTTTTTGAATCATATGTTCTTACTGACTCATCTCGTGATAAACGTCTTTAAACAATGGGTGGTAGTTGAATCTCCGAATCATCATGTTCTTGCTGCCTACCTCCTCCCTACATTGGTTCCATATTGGCGTCAAGTTCCCAGATGCAAGAATCATCAGCCTGCTTAGAGAACAACCATTAACTAAATTATGTTTAGTGGCACATATGATATCTATGATATTCCTCAAAAAATGCTAATCATGTGGCCAGTCACCAAACAACTTGAGTCCAATTTGCCGTGACTCCTATTTGTGTTGGCTAGCATACCGCTTTTGTGGGTTCACAACCATTTTTTCAAAAAGGCCGAAATCCTTCAGGTTTGACAACCCACGTTTGACATAAACGCAATGCACTCAAGCCTTTTCTCTTTAAGGCATTCTAACTAGATGGGCGGATTGCCTTGTTTGCCAGTCGACAGCAGAACGGAACGTCCGAGATGCTAAAGAAACGATGTCCGGAAGTTCGAGTGTTGCCTGCTTTTAGGCCACAGGTCGTGGGGCCACCTTTGAAAACAGGGGCCAACGTCAGGATCGTTCAAGTTTGAGAACTGAATATGTGGATATGTGTATGTATACACATATATATATATATATACACACGTGCTATATATATATATATATATATATGTATAAAACATACAGTTGTCAATAAACATATTTAGAGATATATGACATCATGTATATAATAGTAACATATCGATATAATATAACTCCAAAAACATTGAGACACAAAAAAACAATAGAAAAATAAGTTGGGACCATCATGCCAAGAAATCCAGTTGGAAAATGCTGAAAAGCACATAGTCATAGTCGGCATTGAATCCACCAATCGCGTGCTAGTTGTATTCACATTATCTGGTTGGTGGTATAGCTACCCCTCTGAAAAATATGAGTTCGTCAGTTGGGCTGATTATTCCCAATATATGGAAAAATAAAATTCATGTTCCAAACCACCAACCAGATATATTGAGATGGTAAGATATGATTGGCGATCAACACATTGCTTTCCTTAACTTAGCAATGATTTCGATGTCAGACACATCAGTTGATCATTTCAAACCATACCGTTGGCGACGCTGCTCAAATTCCAAGCTTGTATGATTATCCAGATAATCAGCTAATGTGGTTAAAACAATGTCACAAACCATCCCCCAGTCATCACCATTTTTATGTGGTAGAAACTTACCATTCCCAGTCATGGCTAGTTTATGACATTGTTTTACCCACATTAGTGTCTGGTAAACATACAAAAAACTATGGAAAATCACCATGTTCAATGGGTAAATCAACTATTTCTATGGCCATGGCTTCAATAGGAATCAAATAGGGCGGGCTGGGAACATCATCGGTAGCTCAAAAAAGTGGACATTTTCCGGCAAGCCATATGAATGATTACCGGATGGTAGCAAACTGGATTCAAAAAAACCAAGCATATACAGTAATACATATTTTGTTTGGTGGGATTCCTATGAATCCAAGCAGGACTGCGAATGGGTCAGTTCTTCAGTCATTGGATCTGGTTTGATTAATCATCAAACAAGAAGGAATCATTTCATATCATTTCTGTTCAATATTGATTTTCTGTAGTGTTTTCAATCTCAACAGTACCTCAGCATGTTCGTTCAATTCCTACAATTCATAGACTTGTTTGATGCGCGCCATCGATCGATTCTTCAGCCAATTCTACGATCGAAATCATCAGGAAAAACATCGGTATGGCAGTGGCTTCAAGTCTCCTGGGGTGTCACGTTGGGATTTTGTTTTTTGTATGCTGTATGTATGTTGAAGATTCTGTATGAAACAACAACTAGTTACCAGAAACATCTTCAAATTTCTCTTTTTCTTATATGTTGTTTTGTGGTTATATCAAGGATGCTCCGTGTATGGAATATAGGTACCAACATTTATTCACAAAATGGTCTGGATGTCTTGGGAAATACACCATGCATTGAGCAGAACCATGTCTTCAAGAAGTCAGTTGGAGCCATTTTTGTTGAGTGGTTCAATCCCCAGCATTGATGGATCAATTTCCATGTTTGTTGGTTACCCTCTGGTAAACTAACATAGCCATGGAAAATCACCATTTTGAATAGGTAAATCAACTATAAATGGTCATTTTCAATAGCTATGTTAAATTACCAGAGGGTAAATCCCTATCATCTTATGACGCGAAACTCAATGAGTACAGCTCCAACTGGAAAAACCTATGTTTTACAAGAAATATGGGCACAATAAAAACGCGGCTCCGAGTTCGGTTTCCTGAACATTCACCTGCGCATATGGATCATATGGTACAAGGTGGTCCTGCCAAGAGGACTGCTTAGGCTGGTTTACCTCCATTAGCTACTTCGATATCTACCATACACCCAACAGTTGTTGGCTGGTTATTAAAGAATTTGGCAACTTAGAACTCGAGCACCACCTTGTAGCAGTCATATTCTTGGTGAATATATCACCATTGTAACTTCATGATGTCCCACATATTCTCATTACACGCCAACATTATCCGAGTTGTGGTAGGTTTTACTCCCATTATCTACAAAGAGATGTATATATATATAATACATACAATGAAACAAAATATATACATATATATATATACATGTATATATATATATATAATTTAAAAATATTGTTTCTTGTAAACATGTATGTAATCAAAAGTGGCTTGCTGGAAAATCCTCTAGCACTGCTTCGATGATTTTCCCATAAAACAGGCTCCATGTAGGATTTACCGGCCTGCCAAGTTTGATTCCCGCAGGGTATCTCCATTCTATCCCTCATTCTATCCCTAGTTAACCTTAGTTAACCCTAGTTAACCCAATGATAAGTCAATTTTTTCTATCTAGGCCTCACCATACCCCATCTCAGGCCTGCAGGCCACGCCAAATGCCAGTCCTGTGCAGACAACGTTGAATCAATGTTGAGAACCCATGGCCCGGCCAAATGGGCAACGAATGGATATGCCCTGTGACTATTCGACCATGGATGGCTGTAAAATCCATGAAAATCCTATAAAATTTGGGTAAATGATGGTAATTCCCAAACCTGAAGAGTTCGCCCATTTTGGGATAGTTACCCCTGCACTCACCATTGTTCCAGTGGGTCGCAGTGGTTGGTTATAATTCATCCAGATATACTGCGGTTTTAATGGGAAACTGATTTTCAAATGGAGGATGTTCCATTACCATGTTTGATTACCAAAGGTAGTCATAGCAGTAACCTTCATAAGTTGGGATATGGGGCTCCTGCAGTTATGGCCATATACACACTGGTTGGTGGTTGCAACCCATCCCAAGAACATGTTTGTCAATTTGGTTCATTAGTGGATAATAAAAAAAGAAACAACCCACGATGTAATAATTGAACAGAATATCTTGCCATAATTCTTCATGAGATAAAATTGGATTGTTCATCCTGAAATATAACCACACCTGCATTTTTTGCGTGCGGTCTGCATTGCTGAAGCTTTTCTCTAAGCAAATGGACAGGCGAGAATATCTTGAGTTGTGACCAAATTACACCAAAAAGAACCTGGTTGGTGGTTTTAACCATCTTGAAAAACATGAAAGTCAGTTGGGATGATGACATTCCCATATATGAAATGGAACATAAAAGTCATGTTTGAAACCACCAACCAGGAACGGTCTTGATGAAAACACCGCGATTCATACCAAACAAGGGGACAGCAGTTGACCTTCAGGAGCCGTCCTAAATTGGAGAAATCCTTGGTCTATGTAAATCTGGTTGGTGGTTAATGGTGGTTAATGACCACTAATGGTGGTTAATGGTGGTTAATAATGGTTAATAATGGTTAATCATATCTGGTTGGTGGTTTTACCCTCTGGTAATTTGTTACGTAGCTATTGAAAATGGCCATAGAAATAGTGGATTTTCCCATTAAAAATGGTGATTTTCCATAGTTATGTTAAATTACCAGAGGGTAACCACCTTGAAAAACATGAGTTCGTCAATGGGAAGGATATCCCGTATATTATGGAGAATAAAACATGTTCCAAACCACCAACCAGTTCCTGTCTTTACCACAATTGCCTTTTTGGAGCAGGATCTTTGATTTTTCCTCCCTGCTTCAGCTTTATCCAGCTGACAACACAGCAGTGCGTCTCAACTTTGCTGCTGCAGGCGGACCAAATTACCGACCGATGAGCTACGCATTGGTATACTCGCGGAGAGAGTGGATTAATTTTCTGTGCTTGAATATATTCGCTGCTTTCCTTCCCAAGTGATCCACATGGGGTATTTGAGGTCACAGCTGCACAGATCCCTCTTTGTCTTGGCCCTATCCAGATGGTCAGAGCGTTGCCGCATTGCCTGTGCCTGTGCCGCATTGCCACCAATCAAAATACAACTGCAGTTCCAGTTGCTGATGCACCAACTTCAACTAGAAAGTGCACAGTGTCATTGCACCATTGTTGTCTGCTTGATCTTTGGCTGCACCAGCTTCGACTAGAAATTGTACAATGTCGAGGTGGCCACGTTGAGCTGCAAGTGATAAGGGCGTTGCGCCATTGTTGTCTGCTTGATCTTTGGCTGCACCAACTTCGACTAGAAAGCGCACGATGTCGAGGTGGCCATTTAGAGCTCCAAGAAACAAAGGCGTTGCACCAATGTTGTCTGCTTGATCTTTGGCTGCACCAGCTTCGACTAGAAAGCGCACGATGTCGAGATGGCCATTTGCAGCTGCAAACCACAAAGGCGTTGCACCATTGTTGTTTGCTTGATCTTTGGCTGCACCAACTTCGACTAGAAAGCGCACGATGTCGAGGTGGCCTTTTTTAGCTGCAAGCAACAAGGGCGTTGCACCAAAGTTGTCTGCTTGATTCTTGGCTGCTCCAGCTTCGACTAAGAAGCGGACAGTGGCTAGGTGATCGTTGCCAGCTGCAGCAATCATTGGTGTCCGGCCTCGGGAAAACTCAGGCTCATCTGTCTTTGCTCCTGCCTCCAGTAACAGTTCCATCGGTTGAACATGTCTCAGCTCTGCAGCGTGAAACAAGGGCTTCTTGCCATCTTTGTTTGCTTCATTAGGATTTCGTGGCTGTTGCAGCAGCTGTTCAAGAGCAACTAAGTCGTTGTCGTGAGACGCTGAGATCATTTTCTGCGTTTCTTCATCATCAGGCGGCCAGAATTCCAAAACCACAAGCTGGATCTTAATTGCAGCTGTATCTAGAGTTTCATCATCCCGGATCTCCCGTGAAGCGTCTTCCACGAAGAGTCTCTGTTTGAACCTGGAAATGCCAACCTTAGCTGCCAAGACTTTCTTCACTGCCTTGGCTGTTTGGCCTTTCAGTTCATCTTCAAGGACTGTGATCGTCTCGCCTGATGTTAGAAAACACACCTCCATCGCTGCAAGACCCAAGGTGAAGTACAGAACAAACACATTGTATGCGTCTGTGAATGTGTGTGTGTATGTATATAGAATGTATAGTATATGTATAATTGTACATAATTGTACTATATCATATCATATATAGTAATAACAACCTGTCAACTTCAAATATATACTATAAATCTAAAACATACAATAGATTCAATAGATGTAACACCATATATGGTATATAATATCATACTGGATCTTAAGCAGGTCATTCTCTGAGCTTTATTCAATTGCTGCTGGAAAAAGCAACCGTTCTACGACGCAGCCACTCTGACGAAAAGTATTTCAGATTATGTCGAAACGACCCGGAAAAAGGACACCAAATTGTCTTGCTCTGAAACAACTTTGTGGCAGGTTGGGTGATGTTAGCATATGTTAGCTATCACCTCATCTTCCCCCACAATCAAACGTAAAGAATGTGTGAGACCACCAACCAAAACACATGTTGAAGTAAGCAGCGCCAAAGACAGTTTGGACATTCCCCAAGTTGTAATGGTTGGTTTGGAACGGGATTGCCAGCTCACTGTGATGATCCCCAGTATATATTCAAACAAGCGAGATGTGTGAAACCCCCCAACAATGTTCTCAAGCAACGGGCTCCTCTGAAGATAAGGCCGTGGCCAGTTTGCACGGCATGCTCTTGCATTCGGTTGCTGGTGCTGGCTGTACTTTTACATTTATCAATGATGTGAAACATGTGTATGTGAAATATGGATCTTTACACATTTATCTGGACTCAGTTGCACACTTGGTCCACATTATGATAGATAAGATAACTTGGCTCAATATGGGAGGCTGCAAAAAGGATGCTTTATGATTACATACTCAAATAAACATGACAAACATGATCCTAACAAATGGTGCTCTCCGTTTCTCAAATTTTGACACATACCCATTTGACAAACCAAACAGAAACTGAGTGCGCTTCTGACGTTTCCTTTCAAAGACCATGCGCACCACCTGATCCGTATGGCGAGCAATTGGGAGAGTTTCACCAGTAACACGATACCTCAAAATCTCGAGAATGATAACGTTCGTCGGGAAAGCCACGATGAACCATGGAAGTTTGGAATACCCTATGTCAAAGCAAACCAAGTTTAGATTTTTCCAGGAGAAAGTGGGACTATTGCCAGGGACAAATGACATGACATGCTTGCTAGCGAATTTGTATTTGTTTCACCATGTCGTTCAAAGACTTTCTTCCCTGTCCGCCAAGTGTTAGCCGTGCTCAAAACCTTTTGTCATCCCTTTCTACCGGATTCCGCACTTGGACATCTTGTACTATGACATGATCATCATGATCATCCGCACCAAACCAGCTGCTGCAACATGTTATGACCCTACCGGCCCTACTCTTGAGCACCAACCAACCAGCATTTCCAGGTTCATTCACAATTAGCATAGTTTTTGCTCAAATTTCATTCGGGAAAGAAAGGAACAAAAGGTAAGATATGTCCATGATATCACCGTTTGTTCACCATCAGCCGACAGGGGTTCCTTAACATTGCACGATACGAACACATACAATAACTACCCTCTGGTGAACTAACATAGCAATGGAAAATCACCATTTTTAATGGGAAAATCCACTATAAATGGCCATTTTCAATTGCTATGTTAGTTCACCAGAGGGTAAGTCCACTATGCCCTCTGTCTGACCAAAAGCAGCAACCTTTTTTGAATACCACGCTGCAGAAAAACGCCGCGATCTGATGGATGAGTGAAACACCTTTTCTCGAGTCATCGAAAGAAAGTGTATCAATATGCAATATGGCAGTGTGTCAAAACCAATAGTACCCCTTTTTTGTTCACATCAAAATAGCTGGGTTAAAATGGATGTGAATAACCCCCTAAAAATGGTATGATTTCATAGGTATTGATCCATAGCCATATGGCATTAACATTCATGGGGAGGTTTCCTAAGTGATGGGACTACTCCCAAGGCATCCATCTGTTGGAAGCCCAAAATAGATTGATATACCTCACTACGTAACGTAATAATATAATATATATATATAAATATATATATAATGGCTATGAATCTCTCCCAATTCATGTTGTTGAAAGCCAAGAACACTTTGGAGGAACCCCACCTTCAAAGCTGCTAAACATGAGAATTACAACCTGGAATTCCCCAATCCGAAGTTCGTTGCCCTGCTTGTCATGGCTTTGTCTGCAAAATCATCAATTCACTTCAATGCAAATCATCTGAAAAACAAGCCATGTTTTGGATAATTCTCATTACATTCCCGTACTGCAAGATACTGTAAGTTTGCCGTGGGCTTGTTGAAATTAGCCCAGATTCTTGATTTGTCATCAAATGACTCCACTGAAATAAGCGACGAGGTCGTGCAAGCCCCACCCATCCGAAACGCGCCGTAACTTTTGGCTGCGGCTTAACTTCCTAAGATTTACCCTTGCTGCTGGTCTCAAACGGCAACATGGATAGTATGGGTATGGGTCAATACCTATAGATACATTTTTAGTGGGATGAACATCCATTTACCAGCTATTTTGGGGTTCACTAGATACCAGGGTTTTGACCCATCCCCGTATGATATTGGTATACTCGGATGCCGTGAGACATTGTAGCAACGTTGCCACAATGGCTGCTGGTGAAAACATGGGACATGAAGGACGTTGCCACAATGGCTGCTGAACATCGGGGTTTCAAAAATGATCTTTCTGTAATGCTAGTAAAACAATAATAAACCACACATACATACATACATACATACATACATACATTAATACATTACATACATTACATACATTACATACATTACATACATTACATACATACATACATACATACATACATACATACATACATACATACATACATACATACATACATACATACATACATACATACATACATACATACATACATACATACATACATACATACATACATACATACATACATACATACATTACATACATGTACATACATACATACATACATACATACATACATACATACATACATACATACATACATACATACATACATACATACATACATACATACATACATACATACATACATACATTACATACATACATACATACATACATACATACATACATACATACATACATACATACATACATACATACATACATACATACATACATACATACATACATACATACATACATACATACATACATACATACATACATACATACATACATACATACATACATACATACATACATACATACATACATACATTACATACATCATACATACATACATACATTACATACATACATACATGTTATATTATATTATATTATGTTATATTATATTATGTTATATTATGTTATATTATATTTTATTATATTATATTATATTATATAAATGTTGATGGATTCATACCGCCCATAGAAATGGTAAGATTGGGCCGGTTTACTATTTTTTCACCCGGATTATTGGATATCTTGGGGGGTAAGCCATGCGACATGATCCCACGTGCCATGGAAATTGACTCCAATTGCATCCTAGACTTGGTGACTGCCATGACTTAAAGGGATACGTTTGGACAGGACATGAAGAGCACATGGAGGTTTCCTAAGTCATGGGGGTACTCACAAATCATCCATCTTATTTTCAGATTTTCGAGTATAAACCGTCGAGCTATTGGGGTATCCCCATTTAATGGAAGCCCCCATATGATTTCCACACAAGTCAAGTGTGTGGACATCCCTGTGACCCAACGCGTTGCGGGCGGATGACTGAAAAGGGGGCTACCGTCGGTCGCCCCAACGGCGTGAAACGCGGCAGCAGAAATCGGGGGCAGGGTGACAAATCCACCAGAAATGGGCCAGGATTAGATACAAGGTGCTGTCAATGATTCATCGCTAAGTTGCTTTAAATCCAATAATTCTTTAGTTTGTGCCCAAGATACATCGAGATACATCGAGATAGTTGAAAAATGGGAGTTTATGAAGCAACAAACATTTCACTGGCAAGGCAGCACCAAGTGGGATTGATGATTCGATGATGATTATGCTGGGACAATTGGATTAGGCTGATTTCCCAGCAGGATTTAAATGGCTTAATGGGGTGACATGGGTGACGTGGCCAGGCAAGATGTGCTTGCCGACTTTCAAAGAAATCTTAAGTTGGTGATGTTTTAGCCTACAAGGTTACAGGGAGGTGCCCACAGATAGGCTTGTTGGATAACCCCACTAAGTACAGATATATCTCCATGAACCCAACAGTGAGGTTGTACTTGTGTTGACCAATTTAGCGATTCCAAACTGGAGCACCCCCTTGTACTTGTATGTGCTGGTACTTTTAACTTCGTCAACCGGAGTTGGTAATAGATAACAAAGCATAGAAATGAAATTATATGTGGTACTTAGACTGGACTTTCCAAACAGGTCTCATATCATCTATTATAGATACGTGTAACAAGCCATCCACGTTCACCTGGATAGAGATGAAATTATATCATATTATATCACTGAGGAATTGCACGAACTGTGTGAAATTACACTTCAGCCACGTTAACTACTCCCAAACCTACAATGTGGGCCGCCCCCCCAGGTACAAGTGGTTTATAAATCCCATTGACTATAGTTACTATAGTTATAGGCAGTTATAGCTATCATAAACCATAGTTATTGAAATCATAAACCAATTTAGCTATCGTAAACGGGAGCCCCAAATCTGTGGGATTTCAATTGATTTCAATCTGGATCTTCACCGAATCGGATCCACTCCATCCAAGTTCAACGATGCGTGTGCCTATGCTTGAGTTGTTCACACCGCAGAACCAGGAAACAACGAGCTTTAGCTGCAGCTGATTTTTGTTGCAGATTGGCCTCTCACCTTGGATTGCTATGTTATCTATGTTGAAGACAAACTGCACCTTCCAACTTCACCCAGCAATCTGTTGAAGTCTGCCGCCAGTTCAGACGCGTTTTTCTGCACTTTCGTGCAGCGTCACGTCATTAGATAATGACAGCTGTGATGAAACTGCGTTTGCTGCTGGAATTTCAACAATTTTATCACTGTGCCACGATTTAAACCTGGTATGTGATACTATGGTCATCCATCCCATACTGGGAATCCGCATGTATAATATGTATATTAAACCCCATTTCAATGATTGGATGACCATGCCCTATAGGAAAACCACCCTTGTTTTGACCATGGCACATATGTGTTAGATTGTGTTAGGTAAAAGGTGTACCGCTCGAAATTCGGGCCATGGTTTATGTTAGGATCTGCGGGACGACATTATTTTCTGCAACACTTTTTGGTTTTGAAAATGCCATCGGCCCCTTTGGCACAGCTTTTATGTTTCATTTTTTGGGGGACGGCTACCCCAAAACCCATGGTATCCAATGGTTCTCGTATCAGAAAGCACCGTTTTTGTGGAGTGAGGTCCCAGAGGTCTCAGGCCACGACCTCTTGATGTCCAGAAATCGCAAATATCAAGTTCCAGTGTAACGAAGGGGGCGCAGTTGGGGTTATAAACGAGTATAAGATAGTATAAGTATGGTTTTGATAACCTCTAAAAATTGAAATATAATCCTTACAATTAAAGTGACATATTATAACCCGCAAAATAAGTGGAACTGCACTCCCGTTTGGAAGGATCTGAAAACAACAAAGGCCAAAAAACAAATCTATGTCGTTGCAA